GTAGGGAATTTAAGTTGAAGCATGAAATTTAGACCATGTGAATTCGTTCAGTGTCAGTTAGTGTAATGTTCATTTATTAAAATATGCTATTATCCATTATAAACACCCCCACTAGGAGATTTTAATCATTTTAATATGTATCAGTCTACATTGACAGTAATAAGTTTAAATCAAAACTCGTGGCTAGTCTCTAAGTGAAGAGCTTCAGTTTTATGCCCGTGTTAATTGTCTTTGTGCTCTTCACCTTCTTTCCTGCCTCCTGTAATGAAATAGTGGAGAACAACAGTCTAGAACCAACGTTTTGTTTTCATAGCTTACTTTCATAATAGGTAACAGGAGGTGTAGATTGACAGAGGAGGACGGTGAGCCTACAGTAAGCAGTTAAAATTTGGTTTAAAATATTTGTAACGGTTAGAATTGGGTGCTTGTTTTAGGCCAGCTTCTGCTTAAATGACTGTGAATCATTGAGACACACGTGTATAAAAAATATTTCCTTTAAAAAAATACTGACCTTCACTTCCATTTTGCGGTTTCTTGTTGTTCTTTTGCAACATATCTTTAAGGTCTTAATGTTGTTATAAACGTTTATGTAGGGGTGTCTGCCGGTGTGTTTGTGATGACAGTGGTCTTTAACAGCTCTTCTACTTGCACAGATTTATTTGAGGGAGGTTTTTAAATGGGAAACCTCTGTAGTAGAGTAGCTTTTCAGAGCCTGATATTAATAATGCATTCTAAATGGTCATAAAGCAATAGACAATTTCTGTTAGATGTTATATATAGAAAATATCTGTAGAAATTTTCTGTTCCAGCACTATTTCAAGTAATTTTATTTCTCTCCTTTTTTTTCCCTAACATGTTTCTTGCTATAAACAGCTCAAGCTTCATTAATTTTATTGCTTCATTCATTTGACTAGGTACTTCCAGTCAGTTAACAGCTAGTGCCAATGGAGTGATAATTGACAGTCAGCCTGTAGTCAAAAAGAGAAGAGGAAGAAGGAAGAACGTGGAGGGAGTTGATGTCCTCTTTATAAATAGAAATAAACAGCCTAATCACGTAAGTAAATTTGATTTTTATCAAAAGTAAGGTCCAATTTACTGTTAATCTCTTAACAGAGCATTAACCTGTCAACATACAACAAAAGGATTATTACTCAAAACATTTTTTTCTGAAGTTGTTCATTATAAGTTTAAGACTATGAAATGAGAACTATCTTATTTAATATTACCCAAATACAACATTGGTAACTATTTTAAAAAGAAATATATATAGTTCTTGTTTTTGATAAAATGTTTTTTATAAAACATTGCTAATTACATGACTTTTGACCTAGCAACACTTTCAAATATCTTTTCTTCCTAGTTCCTTTTCTGCCAACACATGTTAGAGGGCCTGATCTTACACTGACTTAACTGGAGCTTATCTTTATGCCCCTGAGTAGTCTCTCTGAGTTCCTGGATGTGTGCATAATGATTCGCAGGACTGTGGCCTCATTGTGTCACACATGAAATAATTAGGATAGTTTCTGGTTTCCGCAGAGAACTTAAGATTTTAAGTGTTTCAAATTTTTCCAGGTTAATCCAGGTATTAACTCCTGTCAAGTTGCTGCAGGAATAAACCCAGCGCTCACTTATGCTCAGTCCCAAGGCGTGCTTGATGCAGAGAGTCCAGTTCCTGTTATTAACCTAAAAGATGGAACAAGGCTTGCAGGTGATGATGCCCCAAAAAGAAAAGATTTAGAAAAGTGGCTTAAGGAACATCCTGGCTATGTTGAAGATTTAGGAGCTTGTATTCCTGTGAGTATTCTTTTCAGCTCTGCTTTAGCTAAATAGCAAAACATCTTTCATAATGTACTTGAATGTGTTTTGTGTTTTATGTGGAATTCTCTTTTGTTTGTTTGTTCTTCTGTATTGTTTAGGAAGGAAAATATCTGTCTCCTGAAGTTGTTTCTTATGTAATTTGAGAGCTCCACTAGCCTTCCATTTCCATTGCGAATAAAATTGCTTGGAAAAATAACATTTAACATAGCTATTTGATCTTTGTCTAGTTTTATATAGGTTTTAAAAATCATCTACAATAAGAAAATATGTTTTACCATGATGTTCATTAGCTAGTTAGAAATGATCAGAGGTGAAAATACATAAAGGGGATTTTAGTGATGTGCAAGAGGATTGAAGACTTTATTGTGGCATATATCTCATCTACGTTTTAGTGGTATGGTAGTATCACATCGTGTGGGTATGATGAAAAGCTGCTTTCTGTCCTGTCGCCATGCAGCCTGTACTGTTGCACAAGGTTTTTTTGGCCCATGTACAAGACATTGTATTTTTCTGTGTTGAACTGCGTGAGGTTACTGTCAGCCTGTTTCTCCAGCCTGTGGAGGTCTTCCTAATGGCAGCCTACCCCTGTGGTGCGTCAGCCACTTTCCCCAGTTTGGCATCACCTGTAAATTTCTTGAGGGTGTATTCATCGTGTCCCACTGTCCAGGTTGTTAACGAAGACACAGGATAAAAAGTGCATTTCCTGAGGGTCCCGTTTTTCCAACAGTAAATAAGTCAAACTTGACAAAATTTAAGAACAGCCTTTGTAGATCCTAAGGTTATTAACTTTTTTAAGAACCCGGAAAAAAATGGAGGGGGAAAAAGGCAGGTTCCTCTTTTTGTTAAGAATGTCTCAGTGTAGTAACATGGTTTCACTCCAACATGTTTTTTTCAACAGTTGCATGCAGGTATTGAAGTATTAGTTAGCAGGCGTGTGTCTCTGTTTCTTGCTTCTCCTGTTCCTCCTTTCTTCTCTCTGAAGCAGTCTGGCAATTAGAAATGAGAATTTAGGTGAAATCTTGAAACTTCCATTTAGGCATTTTTATCTCTGAATTAAGGATTGTATTTAGAACACCGAAGTATGTACTAAGAAACAAATTAAATATGCAAAGAACATAGCATAAAATTCTGAAGATAGAAGTCTGTGTTTAGTATTTTTGAAGCAGTATAGGCAGTATAGAGATAAACTAGGTTGTCACACAATCTACACTTCCATTTTTTTAAGTCGTAAGAACAACTATCCAAATAAGTTTGCTTATGATACTGAATAAAAGAAGGTGACTTCAAATGAAAGCCTGCCTAACAAGAATATGTAAGAATCTTAACATATTTTAAAACAGTTATATCAGAAAAATAATTGGCTCTTTAATTCCTTTATAACAGAGAATGCAGCTGCATGATGGGAGGCCCAAACAAAAAAGACACCGTTGTCGAAACCCTAATAAACTGGACGTTAATAGTCTGACTGGTGAGGAACGTGTTCAGCTCATAAATAGAAGAAACGCACGAAAGGTATTCATGTTGCTCTTTTCATTCATAGCTTCCCAAAATCAAGTTACCTGAAATGAAGAACTCTTAATAATTAGCCAATTAAATTTTCTGCACAAAGTAAAGGTTTTTGTGTTACATTTTTGGCACAAAACGGGCAAGTCAATGGCAAGGTTCTAGTAAACATTTTGAAACTATGGAAATATGTAAGACACTGCTAGAAACTTATTCTGTGGTGTCTGTTCAGAATTGAATAGTCAATTGCTGCCAAATTGGTGCCACTGACTGAAAGTGAATTCCAATACAGAGGCTATCCAGTGAAATACTTTGTTCCATAATAAAACTACTCTAGAGAGATTATTTGATATTTTTATGACAGTAAAACTAAGATTGTTGTCTTTTGTACTTTATTGATTTAATTTAGCTGTCCGACTTGTTACAGTAACTTTTTCAGAGGAAGTTCTTATTTTCCATTGAATCTTTTTTTTCTTACTTGAAGCCTGGCAGCAAAGAACACTCTAAAAGCCCCTGTTTCTAAATTTGAATTTATCTTAACATACAGTTCTCTCTATATGTTGTTCTGATCAAATTGCAGTAATCTGAGAAGTTTTAAACTTCACGCACATCTTCTGACTGGCCATTGCTACTTTTGACATTGTTAAAAATATAGTGTATTCCATGTAGAAACTTGTTTACTGGAATTTGTTAAATCCTGTGTGCTAATTTGGGGTTTTTTTTTTCCTTCTTTCTTCTTCCTTTTCTTATCTCTGTTGTTCTGCATTTATGATTCACCAATATACAGTCCTTGTAAATCAGATTGCTAGGTTAAACAGCAGTGCAATAGGGGAGTAAAAGAAGAAAGGGAATTCTCGGGTAAAATCCCAGTAGGGGAAGGTGGGAGGCTTAGGTGGTATTTACAGGTTTTTTTCAGTCAGGTGATCACAGTTTGGGAAGGGTATAATGAATTCAGGAGGGCTTTAGGGGAAGGCTTAAAAAGCAGTATTCAGGAAAAGCACCGCAGAAGGTCGTTTGTGGGAAGAATTCAGACAGATGTGTGCGATGGTGTTTTTGAATGCCACTGTCGTCCCAGAACAGCAGCCCGGTGAGGGAGCCTTTTTGGTACTGCATCAATGCGCAGACCATTTTCTCTAGTGATACTGCTAGCTTGACTTTCGGTTAGAGAGCAGTTGCAAGGAAAGCAGATATTTTTTCACACTGCTATTTTAAGGTCAGAAGCTTTATGTGTCTGTAGAGGAGGATGAGACAGAATTTGAGAGCCCTTAATCTCTTCAGTGCATTGAGACAGCAGCTCTAAAGCAGAGCCTGCGTAGCGCTAGTCTCTCGACAGACAGGCACGCTCAGCTTCTCGGTGGTAAAGCTTGCTCCAGAGAACCTTTTCAGAGTTGTTCAAAGAATGAGAGGTTTGATCTCTGCTTGCTAAAGAGCCTGTGTTTTCACGATGGCTTTTTTTCCTCCAAAGAAGTTTCCCCACGGTAGCTGGAAGGCTCTTCTCTGTTACCTTATTATCATCCTCAGTGTTCTCACTTACAACCTGCCCCAGCTTCTCTGGGTCACCAGACTCTCCAAAACTTCTGCTCATTTTTTTTTTTTTTTTCAATTGAGATCTACATTTGGTAGCATTGAGGGGGAACTGAAAGTAGCGCAGATATACGAGTTGATGTTGAAATTTATCTTGGAGATAAAAAAAACTGGAATTTTTTTTGAGCAAAAACTGGAATTTTTTTCCTTCTCTTTTTTCTACTAGAGATGGTCTTGATCAGGCTATACTTCTGGTTAATCTGAAATCTTACTCCCCGGCTTGTATGATTTTATCGGTGAGATTGCTCATCAAGCAATTTTGATTGCTCTCTAGCAATCTCAGAATTAGTCTTTGCATGGAAAAAAAAATACAAGACAGAATTTTACAAGAGAAGCAGAACCACTTGATAGAAGTATTTTTAGAAATCGACTGACATGATAGGGTAGGACTGATTTACCAGACAGAGGAAAGTTGTAGCAAAAATGATTGGAGTTTCAACTTTCCCAAAAATCCTTGCACCTCTGTTGTTCCCTGTTCACTGTTGTGCCTGCTGTTCCATTCATTGCATGGCTAAAATGAGCTCTGACACTAATACTTAATCTAATATTCATAGGAATGTCAGTTATTGAAGTTTCAAAGTATGAGTTTAGTAGATGCTGATGTTTAGAACAAATCAAGAATATCTCGCCTATTCCAACAGAAAGTCTCAAAACTATCAACAAATAAGATAACACAAATAGCAATCAAATGCTATTGTTTTAGATAAAAGGCAAAAATGAAACAGTGCGTCAGTCATAAATATTGCCTTTTTTCATATCAGATGAGAAGTATTTCTTGACTTCTATCTTTTACTTCTCAGGTGGGGGGTGCATTTGCTCCCCCTCTAAAGGATTTGTGCCGGTTCCTGAAAGAAAATCCAGAGTATGGAGTGGCTCCTGAATGGGGAGAAGTTGTAAAACAGTCTGTGAGTATTTGCATAGTACGATATCTATGACATGAAATGTATCTTAAAACATAAACAAAAGCAAACAAAAAAGGCATGTTTTATATTTCTGCTATTATCGTAAACATATGGTATGAGTCCATATAAGGTTTTCTGGACAGCTCAGTTCCCTAAACTGGCACAGCTGTGAGTAGGAGGGAGGAGAAGGGGACAGTAGCAATCCCAAATTAGAGATGTGGTTTAAGGTGCTACAGTGCTGTGACTTTTGCATCTAGTAAATGTAGCCTTGAAGGTTTTTAGGCAAGGTATTAGCCCACAGAATATTTTTTTTATCCTTAAAATTATAGTTACAAAGATAAATACTATTTTAAATATTTACTTTTACTTTTTCAACAATTTACTTGCAATGTACACTTTTTTAACTTTTAAAGAAGAAGAATGGTATCACCTATTAAATTGTAAGTCAAGTAATAAACACCTATTTTCTACACTTAGAGATTTTGTTTTGTTTTTAGCTAAAAACTAGTGTTGAGATTCCAGTGGAGGGAGCAAGGTTAATATACTATAAGAGCTTAATGTCTTGATGTGTAAATGTTTTTCTGCTCAGGTAAAAATACGTGTAGCATCTGTAGCTCATTAGTGACGTGACTAAACTATAGACTTGCATCAGAGCTTTCAAGCCCTATTTTTCACAGCCATCATTTCTTTTGTGCCCACTGATTCCCATTTTTAGGAGTATGTTTGCCCTGCAGTTTCACCATTGCCCAGCCCTATCCCTTCTGTAGGGATTATCAACAAAATTAGTGGTAAAGAAGTACGTTCCCCTGTAGTCTTGAGCTGCTTGCTAGTAGCAAGATCCATTCAGTGAATAGCTTTTCCCAGACTGGAACTTATGAATGTAGCTTTAAAGGGGTGCATGTAAGGGTATGTGTCCCTGTATTTGTATGCATGTCTGTGTGTTCCCATGTGTGCCTGTACACATGCACATAATGTTGCATTTAGACCACAGTTAACATGGAGTTTACAGAACTAGAGACATTTATGGACACAGTTTCTACATATTTGTATCGATCAAATAACTGGGCACCTGACTAGTTAAATTTTGTTCTGCATGGGTAGATGCATATACAAACCTGTGAGAATGATTTCAAAGGTTACTTTAAGCAATTCTGTCTTTTTCTGATCAATTGTTAGAGACCAATCTGAAAAACTGATGCAGAAAAAAGGATCCGGAAATGTGTTTAGTTTATGCAACAATAACAAAACTCTGACTTATTAAAAATAATCATATCAGAACTACAATGGTTATTTTGTTTGAGGTTTGTACTAGGTTAAATTTAAAAGAAGAAAACAAAGTCTCTTTCCTCATCTAACAAAACTTGTCAGGCGTATATTATATTAACGCTGTACCTTTAGCCTCGGGCAAAAAAAATAGCTAAGTTAAATTCTGTTCTAGTTCATATCAATTAAATTCTTAAATCTTTCTGTAAAGTTCTAAATTCACTCTCTCTGGTACCCTTGTGGGATATTACGGTAGGAAAAAAAGTAACTAGGAACAGGATTAGACCCTAAGTGAATAGAGGTGTAAATAACAAGAGAATTCCTTTTAGAATTTAGTGTTGTATTGTGTTGTGGGGGGGGGGGTCACTAATAGTTTATCTTCTGATTGCCATTTTTAAAAGGAATTCTCAAGACAATGCATTTTAAAGAGTGTATTAGTGCATAATTATAATTCTTTCTTCATCATTAGATGACGGACTTAACAGCGGTAAGCCCCTAAACGACGTGCTCTGGATTCATTTTAATTGAGCTTGAATCTCTGTTACTTATTCTTCAGTATATGGATGATGTGAAATATGAAGGCATTAAACAGACACTAGCAATGGTGAAAAGGGCTCAGACTGTTGATCTGTGTGAAATCGCACATTTATGTTTCACCTTAAATTGAGTAACTAAAGTCTCTCTTTAATTAGACCGTTACAAATTAAATGAATGGAATGCAGTAATATCCCAAAACAGTGCTATGTTTTAGAACTTAAGGTCAGATTGCTCCTCTAACTAGCTATATTTAGCCTGAGCTGCAAAGAACCCTCCAAGGATGAGTTAGCAGCGGGTCTTGAGAAGAGACCTCACAGTAGACCTCACTGTGGGTTTAAATGTTTGAGATGCGATAGTGCAAATGCACCACAAATTGCAGAGCGGTGTTTGAATATCAACTTGCTGTGCTAACATAACAGAACAATCTTTGACACGTTTATTGTACGCTTGGGGCTTTTGCTTCTTCGTTTTCACGCTTTCAAAATACTGAAAATGCACGATGCTTCTTTTGCAGGGATTTCTTCCAGAAGGTATGTTTGACCGTATTCTCACAGGGCCTGTTGTGCGGGAAGAAGTAAGCCGGAGAGGAAGGCGGCCGAAGAGTGAGATTGCCAAGGCAACAGCAGCTGCAGCTGCAGCAACAGCGGCCAGCGTATCGGTTAACCCTCTGCTAGCCAACGGGTTGCTGCCGGGTGTGGATCTGCCCAGACTGCAGGCCCTGCAGCAAAACCTGCAAAATCTGCAATCGCTGCAAGTAACCGCAGGATTAATGGGCATGCCAGCGAGCTTAACCACTGGAGGGGAAGCGAAGAGCGTGGCTACCATGTTCCCCATGCTGCTGTCGGGGATGGCTGGATTACCAAACTTGCTGGGCATGGGCGGACTTCTCACAAAGTCTACAGAATCTGTTTCAGAGGAGAAAAAGGGAAGCGATTCAAAGGAGGCAGAGATAAAGAAAGAAAGGACAGAAGACCAAAATATAGATATTGGTGGTGAAAACTCTGTTTCAAATTCTCCTTCAACATCCTCAGCCGCTGCAGCTGCCAACCCTCTGTCTCTTAACCCGTTACTTTTGTCCAACATACTTTATCCAGGGATGCTTCTCACTCCAGGCCTTAATCTTCATATCCCAGCTTTGTCTCAGTCCAATATTTTTGATGTACAGAACAGTGAAAACAATGACACGGGTTCAGCCAAGCCCACAGAAGAGAAGGAGGAAAATTCTAGGGTTAGAGATCAGGAAGACAAAGGGGGAACAGAGCCAAGCTCTCACAATGAAAACAGCACAGATGAGGGTTCAGAGAAAGCAGATGCTTCATCTGGATCTGATAGTACATCGTCTTCATCTGAGGATTCAGATTCTAGTGATGAAGACTGACCCCAGACTCTGCACTTAAATTATAAACTGATTTTGAATATATTCTTTAATTATTTCAGTGTAAATAACGCAGTGTTGAGTGCATCAATGATTTACTGACCGAACATTTCAGTATTTGTTTAGAAGTGCAAACTGCTTTCAAAGACGTTTTGCATGTAAGATTTCTTGAAGTTCATAAGTTTCTGAACTTGTATGTACTATCAAATACACAATGGTGTAAAATTACAACAAAAGGCATTATAATTTTGTTGGGGGGTTAATTTTATGAAAATAATGCTCAAGAAAGAGCTGTATATTTAATATATTTGCAGTGAACACAGAATACTTTATGCATATTATTGATTTAATTTGAATATAGTTTTACAGCCTCCTTGACACTTATAATTTACAGATCAAAACTCAGCAATAATTTGGGCAGCTAATGAATGTCATGAAAGCTGTAGAATCTACATCACCATCCATTGCTTTAATTACATGAAAATGCTCTAGTGTTGTGATGCACTGCTGTTTCCAATTCAGGTACAAGTGTGTTTAAAAGAAGATAAATTTTTCCCAATCAGCCAATTAAACTGGCTACCTGTTACCTCAGCTGAGTTAGTTTAGGAAGTTTACATTGGTTTCTATTAACTTGTTTTCAGGTTTTGTTTTGTTTTCTAAAGACATCCTGTATGATATCATGTTAAAATCTGAATTATCTGAGATAATGACAGGTGGGCGGTTTGTTCTCATCACAAGAATTCTCCTTGATAGTAGTAAAGGGAAATTAAAACAACCTGTCTTATCTCATGCTACTTGGCACCATATAGACCTAGTTTAGTTTACACCTTGCAAAGTTTTGGGCTCCCTCTGCAGAATTAAAAGTCCCAAAATAAGGAGTAGTTTTCCCAAGACTCAGAAGAGGCAAACTGTCATAAAGTGCCACTGAAAAGACCTTTCAACACTGCATACTTCATGTAAAAATTGTTTGTTTGCTTTGTTTGTGTAGATTTCTATTTGTGTTTTATGTCATAAAACCTCCTGGAATTACCAGTTAATAATGGTAAATAAAGTATAGATAGTTTTGAACTCTTTTTGAGTTTAAACTTCTCTACAGATTTAAATCTGACTGAATATTAAATATTACCCCAAGTCGTTATTGGGATGTCAGTTCATATATTATGCTGAGTTGCCCACTAAAGAAAAAGCACTTTGACTAGTAAGGAAGACAAATTATTCCTGGAAACCACAAGAACAGGGCATAAAGCATCTGTTTAAGTCCAAATCCTTAGAACCCTTTACTATATAAAATCTGTCTAATATTTGATGTGTGGTATGATTCCTCCTTCTTCTTAAGCTGCTATTACTCTGACACAGTAGAGGCCCAGATTCATTTACATAAGTTCTGAACTGACTGAGATTTCAATTGACCTTTGTTATATCATTTGTGGTCCAAGAATAGACAAGTGTTGAGAGAAAATAGATACAGGTACTAGTAGAAGTCATTGAAAAAGCTTTACAAAGGGATAAATTTAAAAATAAAAAACAAAAAAAACTGTATATTTTGATATAGTTCTGTTGCTTGCTTGTACAGTAAAACAACTGTGTTGTTTTTTTTTACCAAGAACTTTACCAATGAAATATAAGTTTCTATGTGCAAAATAATTAACCCCATGATTAGAAGCAGTATTACATGTAATTACACAATTATACAAATACCATTTGGATTGTGCTGGTTACGTATTTTCCCAAATAGTATTCTGGTTTTTGGCCCTTCATGCAGTGTCTTAGCAATAGTCAAAATTTAAAACTGCCAAGAGAAGGGGGTAGCAATTCTTCATCATGAGAAAAATGTATTGCATATTTAATATTTTGCCCTTTGTAATATAGCACTTTTATTTAACTAGGATGCATCTATGAAATAGCCAAAGTTTTACAAACAGTTATTAACTTAGTTTGCTGATGGAGTATGTCAACAATACCATCACTTTCCACCCTTACCCCACAGAAGAAATCCTAAATCTTGTGGCTAATACTAATTTATATCAGATTTATGAAATAAAGTATTTTCCTAATTATGCTCAAGTGAGTTTGGTTACCATTCTAGTAATTCTTTCTATGTAATAAGGCAATTACAGTTTCAAGTAATGAAGGCTGGTGTAGACTTGAACATAATATATCGGGTTTATTTTTAATCAGGATGAATCAGAAGGGGAAAAAATGTCCCACTGTCAGCTATAAACTGTATGCAAATATGGTTGTATAAAGTTAAGGGTTATAAGGAAACCTCAGTAGAACTACACTAATACTGAAGTTAAAATTAAAAGGATATCCAAGGTGATGATAAAGTGTGTGTTGGTAGTTACTAAAAGAACCTTAGCTGTTATTGCCTTGTATTTCTATCCCTTGTTTCAGGCTTCATGATCCAAGTCTTAGTCCAGTTTTTCTTTTGGACATTTGCAATATTTGCCAGTTGTGTTCTGTGTAGTCTGAATTTGCTTTCTGTAGTTGAACAAGCGTCTTAAAAAGTCATTTGTAATTTATTGAATTACTTTCTATGATGTTCTATAGAGCAAATGGAAGTTTAATTATTTTTTATTAAACATATTCTTTGACTACCTATGATGTCAGCCTCAATATGTGAAAATACTGTTGTCTGTGTAAGGATTAAACATGTATCTTTGAGTGGCAAAAGTGAAGACTGAGTGTTACAGTCTAAAAATGAAGTTGTTCATAAGACCTTAGAAAGTTAAGCCAGAGACGAAACTTCCC